ATGATCACGATTCAGACGAGAAAGAAACGTAGCCCGAAGCTAAAACAATAAAAATGAGTGGTGACCATCTAAGAAAAATCCTATCAGAGTACTCTTGTCTCGATTTTTTCACTTATAATTTGTTTGAAAAAAGTTGCGGAAAATATGGGGCCCAGTGCAAAGCACACATACAGCACAGCATGCAAAGCACATAACATGCATGCATGTTGCCCCAACTCGAATGGCTTTCATAGAAATAAGGAGCATAACAGTTAAAGGGACAGGTTACCATGCACTGGATGGGTGAGGGGAAACAAGTGAACCACAACGTTTTTCACTGAATGGTGTGGGGATTAGTACTAACAGCATTTAAGGGGAATGAGGGAGTCTTTCACGTCCAATTTTTATCACTTCGAACGCTTTAAAACATAAGTCCAAAACAACAGAGATCAACTCGACCAGTTCCCATTCACAATTTCTAATGTCAATCAGTAAAGCAGGAAACTTGATAATAATGAAGAAGAGCGTACCTGTTGCTCTGCACGACTTAAAACTCCGGGTGAAGAAGCACGAGAAGCAATAGTTTCAGCAGAGATAAGAAAAAGCACATCATCCAGAACCTTTTCAGCATTGATGGCAAGCTCAAAGAAAGCACATTAATTTAAGACAAATGTAGTGCAATGTTACTAGTAAAAAAATGAAATGATCTAATCCTTTTGTCTTCATACTCTATACTTCCCGCTGAGATTAACGCAAAAGACACGCCTTGCCATAGGTCAAACGCGCTAATTTTCTGGGAGAATACCGAATTGACCTAAGATAGAAAACTGACAGACCTTTTCCCACGAAGTGCTGAGAGCGCTTCGTATGGTTTGGAGATTAATTACGGTGTTCAGCCCAGAAGACGAAAGAAATGATTGAAAATCTCCACCCAATCGCAGGAGAGATAAAGAAATAACATTTGCGGCAATGTGAGGAAGCAGTCTCTGAAAAAGAAATGATGCACGATGTATATGTGAAAACACATAGAAGCATTAGCTATTACCTCTTCAGGATTTCTTCGTAGAAGATGGTGAACAACATCGCGAATCGGCTTTGTAATAAAAGGAGACAAACTCGGAAGGTCTTCTTCTTTGTAAGTGGCGCTGTCCAGGCGAGAGTAAAATGGGTTTACTCTGAAAAAAAAAACAACATGAAATTCATACATCATATTCCAAATACTAAAAAGTTAGAAAACGGGGGGTACAAAAAACAGCCCCACTGTGACTCACACCTAGTGTAACACCGACGTTTCTATTATATACTGAAGAGTCACAACTAAAAACCTTACAACAGCCAATTTGACGCTTGCCTGACAGACTTGTCCAAATGACTTTATGAGAAACCTGAACGTCTCAAGAGTTTACCCCACCTCTAGTGAAATATCTCCACTCATAGGCAGAGTTCCAAACAGCCCCGACCGCCATTCGAAATACCGACAATGCTGAAAAGCAATGTAGTCCATCAAGCCTAATTCAACTGCTCCAAATACTTGCTAGACGATTGCGACGACCCTGCCCGATCCATGAAAACTCTTACCTATCAGGTCCCGGTCGCGCCATAACAATTTCAGGTGCTCTCGTTTTTCTGTTTCCTCCAAGATCGATAGTGTCGTCAACATACTTGACGACCCAACTACCTGTCGCCAGAGCACACCCGAAATCAGAAATTAAACAAAGTGAAGGATCTTCCACACATCAATGACACACCAAATAAAGGGCAAACTATGAAGAAGAACTTCCGTAAATAGAGCGCATACCGTGTTCATTACTTGAATCCCAAGCAAAATATTTGTCGCTACTCATATCCCTTGTTGAAACCATATTGTCGCTCTTCATATCTCGTTGTGAAACAGTATTCTCGTAGAGGAATACACATCCTTCCAATAACTGACCGAATAAGAACACGGGCTACGTGATAGCTGCGTTTTCTGCGGAAATCTTTGACATATTCGCGCAATGTCATGCGATATCTGAAAATATAACGAAATATAAATCGCTGATCGATAACGGTCCACAGCCAACAAGAAAAAGGCAATTTTAGCATCTTTCAAAACCATTTGGTCCATGTAACTTAATATAAAAATATTCACCTCTTCATCACCACGAACATTGTTCTGGGTTCATTAATAATCATCTCATAGAACGGAGCCGATGGAAGCGCATCGGGGTAGACAAGTTTGGCGTCATCCAAAATCGGCATACGATCAACAAACGCAGTTAGGACACGTACAACATTCGGGTGAAAAGCCGGTAAAGGTCGAAATCTGTACGAAAGAAGTAAGTTCAGAATTACTACATATAACGAAAAAAATCGACAATTACCTGCCCATCCTTCCGTTCAAAATGCTGGCACTTTCTGGTAATGGAACTAGTTCGGCACCCATAGACTGCCATAAATAGTTGTCTCCCAGTCGAGGGCATAAATCCAAGGCGAAATTATACATCAGTTTCAGAGCGAGTGGATATTTCTGTATCGAATACGAATAGTAATCACATTTTTGAGAACGCGATGAAAAAGTAGCAAAAGTAACCTGTATTGGACAGGCGCCTTCCTCAGAAAAATCACGAGTTGTAACGCTGCCCATACTAGATGAAGTACTTGGACCAGTACTATCGCGGACTTTCAACGCATACACAGCAGCATTGCAACCGTAACCAATATTCTGTCCTGTAAGGACCACCCTTGAAATGGTTTAAAAAAGGCGTACATGTCGTTGGGGAGGGGAGGAGAGAGACATTCGAGTGAGCGGGCCATTACTGTGCTTGGAACTAAGCCTTAGGAAGGAAACGGGATTCTTGGGGAGGATGTAAGCAAATTTGGACTCTCCCCAACGTTCTCCCCTCTTAGGCTTACTCGTAGTGT